CTTTGAATTTCTAACAATAGTAAATTTTCTAAGTAAAGATTAGTTAATAATATCATTCTCTAAAAAGCGTTTTTGTAAACATGGTTAGGTTTAAAATGAGTAGCCTGTCTTCTTTCATTAATCAACATGTGTTGACTCTATACAAAAGGAGAAAGATGGATAAGATAATTTTCCGATATACACTATTGTGAAAGTCATATAGATATATAGAATTAGAGTTGAATTCTGAATACAATAGCCGTATTATTTGTTTGAAAATGTGAATTCTAATTTTTCGTAATTTTTTTTTTATTTGAACTTAAAAAGAGTACCTAAAAATGAACCAAATGGTGCATTGCTGAAAATTTTCTGTAATAATTTTTGAATCAGATAGAAGCTAGAAGAAACTGAGAAATATAATAAAATTCTTTGAGAATTTCTCAAAAAAAGACCAAATTCTGGAAAGGTGTTTGAATCATTATTTGATAGAGAATCAAAAAAGTGCATACTGCTATGATATTTTCCATTTGAAGTTTATATTCGTTATCAAATGGAAGGACGATGACTTGAAGACAATTATACGGTTTCTTACTTTTTTTTTTACTTGAAAAATATTAATTTAATGCAGTTTTCGATCATATTTCTAAAGCCGATTCATTTTTGAGCAGATCTAAATGGTTTTGAATGTTAACGAACCGTATCATTCGACCCAAAATTGGCATTTCTTCAGAGATGGTTCATTCGTATGATCCCACAAAACCAAACAAATTTTCTTGCTAAAAATCATTATTTGTTTTTTTAAATTTTCGATTCGATATTCGTAATCAGCATGTAATTCTAACTCGATTATTGTATATTTCTCTAGAATTTAAGAATATTGATTTTTTGATGCTCATAAGGAGACAGTCACATGATCTAAAACTTTTTCGAAAAATGGAAATGGCTACTTTGTTCAGAATTTGACGGTAATTTGAGATAACTACATGAATTCAGATATATTGCGTAATAAAGAGCTTTTGTACTCAACTATTTGCCTTCTTTAAGATGTCACAAACAATAACATTACCGAAAGTAATCTTTGGAACTAGTGCACTAGGAAATTTATACGCGGCATATGAAGATAAAATTAAACTTGAAACTGTTAGAGCATGTATACAATATACCTCACCACAAAAACCGGTCGTATTTGACTGTGCTGGAAAATATGGAGCTGGATTAGCGTTAGAAACATTGGGCAATTATCTGAAAACACTAAATGTAAAGTCTGAGGATATTCTGATCAGTAATAAACTTGGCTGGTATAGAACTACCGAACTTGAAAATGGCAAAGAACCTACATTTGAAACTGGAATATGGCATAATTTGAAATATGATGCAGTACAGAAGATAAGCTATAAAGGTATACTTGAATGCTATGAACAAGGCAATCAATTGTTAAATGGTTACAAGACTAAACTTGTATCAGTACATGATCCAGAAGAATATGTTGCCAGTGGCCAAAATCAATTAGAAAAAGACAAACGTTACAATGATATAATTGAAGCTTATCGTGCACTTCATGAATTGAAGAATCGAGATGAAGTCAAAGCTATTGGTGTAGGATCAAAAGATTGGAGAATGATTGAACGTATTGTAAACGATGTTAACTTAGATTGGGTAATGATTGCTGCGAGAATGACTGTACACAGTCATCATCAAGGAATAGTTACTTTTATGGAAAAATTACAACAGCGTGGAATAATCATTATCAATGCAGCAGTATTTAATAGTGGTTTTTTAATTGACGAAGATTATTATAATTATAAATTAATGGATCCTATGTATGATCAACAATTATTCAAATGGTGTACAGATTTTTTCGAATTATGCGATAAATATAAAATAAAACCAGCTCAAGTATGCATCGCGTTTGGACTAAGTGCACCAGGAGTTAAAAGTATTGCCTTAAATACAATAGATGTGGATCGTATTAAAGAGAATTTAGATATGGGAGCGGGAGGAAATGCGGCTATACCATCAAATTTTTGGAAAGAGATGAAAGCACATGGATTGATTGATAAAAACTACACTTATGTGTAAAAGATGTTGTTACATAGTATTCCTCAATCATCATTCCACATATGTAATCTTCTATGCGTTGTCATTTTTTCGTAATCTACTTTTCATATTTTATGACAGTTGTTCGATATTTTTACAATTATCTAAGAAAAGAAATGTATTGGTATTCTCTCTTTGATCGTTCCTCTTCATATTTCTATATCAATACAAATGATTGTAAAAATTGTCAAACTTTTTCTTTCGACATGCAATTTGCCGTCGTTAATTGAATTCAACAAAAGTCTAAATTTAAAAAAAATAGTCCAAAGAATAGATAGAGAGAAAGTTTGACTTAATCGTCATATCAATACGACATGATGTTCGAATATAACAATAGAAATGTCGAAGATGAGGCATAAATTGATCAACAATCATTTCTATTTGATGGTCCTTTATAAACATACCATCAGGGCTATTCCAATTTTGTATATTGCGTGTAAATGTATCGAGTTGGCTAAGAAATTTGACAATATTGAGCAAATATTCATATCTTATTTCTACTTCAGTCTTCGTAGTCAATTCAAATTTCCTTAAATGAATCATTGGACAATTTGTTGATTTAAATGGCAACAATAATCGACGAACGACATAAGCATTGCACAAAGTTACAGAGAGTTCAATCAAGTTAGGTACAAGACCATCTAATAAAACAAAAAAATCATCGATTGTTCCCCAGGTCAATCACCCACGGCCGTAAACGACCGTGTACCGACAGATTACGGTGGAAAACGACAGACGTTTACAGTTGTCGTTTACAACAACCATATACGAGGGTGTGGGTGTGAGTGTAGATGTGTGTATAAATTTTCTCCACACTTACACCCACATCCACCACCCACACCCACATCCACACCCACCCAAACCCAAAATCAATCCTTTTTAATCCAGTTGGGCGATAAAATTCCGAATAATTCCTCAACACTTTTCATGATTGATTTGCAATGTAACTCAATTCATTATCTTCGAAATAATGTTTTATCGAATACGATGCTCTCTTTTTCTTCACCTTCAGCTGCTAAAGTTATGGAAACTTCCAAAATTAACGGAATAATTTTTCTTTAATTGGCTTAGAAGAGGAAATTGTGAAAAAAACTTCCAAAGTAGGATGATTCATTTTCAATTTACTTTGGGTCATAATATTCCCAATAATATGTGATTGACTGGGATTTTTTTCATCTATTTCGTGTTGTAAATTTAAAATCATAGTTTTATGGTTAGAACAAATCATTTTTGAATCCAGTTAGATGTGCAAAATTGCAAAAAATAGTTTCTCAATTTGGACCATTAGTTTTCAATGCATGTCAGTTCATCATATTCGTGAATATGTTTCATAGAATAGAATGATTTTTTTGGATTCCATTTTCTGTTCTAACCTTGAAATAACTGTTTAATGGGAGCACGAATTCGTTTTTAATCCAGTTGGGTAAAAAAATTTCAAATAATTGTTTAATATTTTTGGTGATTGATTTTCAATGCATCCAAAGTCATTATACTTTAAATAATGTTTTATCGAAGAGGATGCTCTTTTTTATTACGCTTCAGGTGGTGAGATTCTTAAAAAATGCAAATAAGTAAAACAGTTCTTTTGAATCGACTTTGATGAAGAAATTGCGAATAAAACTTACTAAGCATGATGATTCATTTTCAATATACCTTAGGTCATAATATTCCCAATAGCATGTGATTGAGTGCGAGTTATTTTAAACCATTCTCTGCTCTAAATTTAAAATAACAATTTAATGGTAAAAATAAATCCTTTCTAATCCAGTTGCACGAAAAAATTCCGAATAATTTCTTAACAATTTTCATGATTGATTTTCAATATCTCAATTCATTATCTTCGAAATACTATTACGATTGAGTGCGATACTTTTTTTGTATTTCAGATCGAATGATGAAATTTCAAACAATATTTAATCGGTGGAATTATTCCTTTTTGAACAAGTTGATTGGAAAAATGTGCGATAATAGCGTAATCGTTAAAACAAAACACTTTTTTTGTCCATTTTGGTGAAATCATTCCAAACAATTATTCAGCAGTGTTGATAAATGATTTTCAACGCATGCCAAGTCATTATATTTCAAATAATGTTTTATTGAATACGATGCTGTCTTTTTCTTCAATTTCAGGTGCTAAAATTATGAAAAATACCAAAATTAATGGGATAATTTTTGTTTAATCGACTTAGATGACGAAATTGCAAAAAAAACTTGCAACGCACGATGATTCATTTTCAATTCACCTTGGGTCATAATATTTCGAATAATATGTGACTCAGAGAGATTTTTTTAACCTATCTTGTATTCTAAATTTAAAATAATAGTTTCATGATTAGAATAAATTCTTTTTGAATACAGTTGGATGATAAAATTTCAAAACATAATTTAACAATTTTGGCGATTAACTTTCGATGCATGTCAGTTCACTGTATTCATGATGATGTTTGATAGAATAGAATGATTTGTCTAGATTGGATATTGTGTTCGAACTTTGAATTAATAGTTTAATCGTACACTAATTCTTTTTAAATACATCTGGATGAAATAATGGCAAATAATAGTTTAACACTTTTGATGATTGATTTTCCATGCGTTTCAGGTGATTATATTTTAAATAATGTTTATTGAGTACGACGCTGTGCTTTTATTAAGATTTTGGTGCTGAAATTCTGAAAAATATTAAAATTGTTAGAACAATTCTTCTTTAATTGATTCAGATGGCGAAGTTGCGAATACAACTTACCAAACACCAAATTGTTTAACGCTTTAATGATTCGTATTCAATACATCGGATGCCATTATAATTGAAAGAATGTTTTATTGACTACAATGCTCTCTTTTGATTCCATTTCACGCACCAAGATTCTAAAAAACGCTAAAATTAGTGAAATAATTGGTTTTTAATCGAGTTTGACGAAATTGTGAATAAAACTTTCCAAGCACGATGATTCATTTTCAATTCACCTTGGGTCATAATATTCCTTATAATATGTAATTGAGTACGAATTTTTTTGACCCATTTTGTGCACTAGATTGGAAATAACTTTGTAACGGTTAACATAAATTCTTTTGATTCAAGTTGGATACAAAAATGCCGAAATAATTGCTTAATACTTTCGATGATGGATTGACAATGGATCTCAGTTTATTATTCGAGCATTAACATCATAGGTGGTTGTTCATTATGTACTACAATGGCTTTTTGATTCAATATGGCCATCAAATTTTGAATTATACTTGAAATAGTTTTATGATTGATTTGTAATCAACCTCCAGTGATTTTGTTCCGAATAATGTTTTTATGATATCATAATGCTTGTTTAATCTATTTACAGTGAGAAAATTGCTAATAATAGATTCATGAGTGCGAGGATTCGTGTTTTTCCACTGTGAATGATGAAAATGGAAACAATGCATCAATAAGTACGAAAGATGCGTTATAATCCACTTCGAGTGATTGAATTCGAAATTATCGTTTTATGAGGACTGTGATTATTTTTGAATTGATGTGGGTCGATTGAAATTGAAACGATGCTTCTGAAACATGATACTATGTTTTTAACGGATTTCTAGTGGTATATCTTCAAATGAAGCTTCTGTTCGATGATGATAAATTTGAATAGACTTTGGTCCTAAAATTGTAAATAATCCCTCTGAAGTACGATGATAGTATCTGATTTGACATCAGATCATACAATTCAAATAATAGTTCTCATCTATCACTATAGTTTCTAATTGGCTTCTGGTAATTCGATTTCAATCAATGCTTCTCAACTGAGACTGTTACAGTTTAGTTCACTTTGGAACTTGAAATGCCGAAAAGTTTTATCACTGGCACAGTGATTTCTTTCTAGTTCGCTTCGGCTAGTGAAATCTGGAATAATAGTTTTATCAATATGATGATTATTTTTCACTTATGTTTGAGTGATGAAACGAGAAATTGTGTAGACGATTTTTTTATGTGTATGCGCATCAATTAAGCTGCTCGAATAGTGAGATAGAGAACAAACAAAAGAATAGGAGATATTGGTAGAAAAAAAGCTTGATTGGCGGAAAATATGGGCGTGAAAAGTGTGTTAGTCGGAAAAAATCAACGTACTTTTTTTCAAGTTTGTCCGTTGATGTTTCATGTATACGGATCAGTACACAGTGGCCCATCAGATTTTTGGACGTATATAAGGGCATGGTAATGTATTAGTATTTTACACTTCAACAGCATCTACGTTACGAAATACTATTCTTATCGTGCTTAGTGAAGATTTATCATCAATACAAACAGCCAAGGTGTGTATTTTGATTTTCTCTTTGTTCTAGTCATGCTCCAGTTGTATATGATGTGGTAGTTAGATCGATCTGAAAATATTGGTAAATGTGTTTTATTTGAGTATATAGAGTCTAAAGAAATTGTCTTGATTTCATATAGTGATAGTAGAAATGCTGCCGGTTGTTGTGTTCTATTTGATTACTCTTCAACTAATATTGTAACAATAAAACTGCGATAAGTATTTTTGTGTATGACTAAACGACAGCATTAAATCACAATATCATCCATGTGCATTCTTTTTTTGTCTTTGTTTTTTCTCCTCTCTTTTCTTTCACCTTTCTTCTGTGTTTTTTAACGCTTAGTCATGCATATACACATACATATAGAGGCATCTGCCTTGGTTGTTTTGTATGAATGTTTGTTCCTCGTGTATTCTTGAAATAGATAAAAAGCAAGCAGTTAACTTACACTTTTATACTGCTCACAAACAAATGGTTCGATAAATGGATCCAACGAATCCAGTTGTTTGTGAATAACTAGAGTGACTATTTTAAACGTCTGATGAGATAAAAACTTCCTAAACCTCTTTCTGTATTTTTTTTTCTATCCTACCATCGTTATTTTTTTGTACATTCTGATGTGCTTGGACCACAAAGCATTACTAAAGTCGAGAAAGAAAGGTGAAAAAGAAAGAGGAGACAAACAAAGGAAAAAACAC